CTCCTGGGCCAGCAAAAAGAGGGGTTTTTTAGTGCTGGGTGGAGAGCAGAGAGTGTACTGCTGATTTGCCTTTTTTTTTTTTTTTTTTTTTTTTTTTTTTTTTTTTTTTTTTTTTTTTTTTTTAAGCTTCCCTTCTCAGTGTGTTTCTGGGCTGTATTGTATGAGCCTGCACCCACCACCCATCCCCTCCTGCCCCAGGCGCTGCTTCGGGTCTCCCATCCCCTGGATGCCAGAATCGCTGCTGGGATGTGATCAGAAAGGCAGGAGAAGAGGAGGTGGCACAAACAGCCCTTTCTGCTGGCCACCACTTGGCTTTATCCCCAGCACTGCTTGGGTGGGCTCCTGAGGGAGCCTGCCCTGGTTGTCCCCCACCCCCAACATGTGGGGCTGTGCCAGTGCCTCTCAGTAGGCGTTCACTGGAGTAATAGCTCCCTGGTTTCATTCCACCCACATCCACCTCCTTAGTGGAGGATCTGCGCTCGTTCTCGCTGGTGCCTGGCCCCCTGTCAAGAGCTCCTGCAGGCAGCCAGGAGCTGCTCCTAATGGGCTGCCAGGGGATTTGGACTCTGACAGCTGGGTGCTGACAGCTCCCTGCCACCGCTCACTTCACCCGCTGGGCTCTCCTCTCCACAGTCAGATGGAGAAGGATGCTCCAACCTCTGTGGGGAGGAGGCTGGCTCCTCTTTCTCCTATTGCCTTGGTGGGGATGATGGTGCAAGCAGAGGGTTCCCAGGCTGGAGGAGCCCCTGCAGGGTGATGTTCAGGGATGGGGATTGGGAGAGGGGAGGAGGTCTGGATGTCCCACAGGGTACATGACAAGTCTTGTCAAAGCTCCCAGCAGGGATTTGGGGTAGGAGGCCTTTGCTAGCTGGGAGAAAGTGCTGACACCTCCTGGGGCTGCTTTTCCAGCAGCTTTGGGGCCTCCCGTGCTTTCCCCTGGCTGACACATTGCCTCTCTTCTCTGTTTGATGCAGGGCTCCTCTGCCTCCCCACAGACCCTGTGTAGGGGCTGGTGGGTGCTCCCCAGGGCCCAGCTCCATTCCAACGGGGGCCGTGGCAGCTACTCCAGAGGGACTGTCCCATCGCCCTGCCAGCGTGGAGCAACTCACAGCCTGCTGTCTTGTATGGCTTTTTATTCCTATGTGATTATACATTCCACTTCATATAGGGATTGAAGCCGTGCAATACGCCGGGGTCCTACGGCGGAGAGCAGCTCCTGTGCCATGGGAACCAGCCTCGGAGGAGCTTCCAGAGCTGTTCCCTGGGGTGCTGGAGGAAGACTGCTGGCCTCAGCCTGGACTCTGTCCTGCATGCCAGGCTACCTAGCCCTCTGGAGCTGCAGGTGAGGGGTGCCAAGCTGCTTGGGATGAGGCCAGCATAAGCCCACTCCTCCTTGCATTGCACCCTCTTGCAAAGGTGGGCCTGCTTCTGCACCACATGTGCTGTGGAGAGCCCTGATAACTGCACTGGTGGGCTCATCCCTGGGGAACCTGCTGCTTTGGTTCTGCCCTGCAGTATCCCAGGAGATGGGTGACAACCTCTGGGTGCAGGCACTCAAGGAGGCACTGCTGGCAGGACAGGGGAGGAGAAAGAGGAAAAAGGGGCTGAGGAATGGCCACTGCAGCAAGGGCTGCCCCAAGCATGACTCTCTTCAAAGTTGCTCAAGAGGCTTCAGCCACTCTTTCAAGGTTTGCGTTAAATCTGTCACATTAGCGAAAATAGTGAAAATTGTGGCTTGTAGAGGAGATGAAAGGCAGCCCCTTCCAATGCCTCCATAAAGGAAGGGCCCCATTAACACCTAGTGAAATATTAGCCATTAATCAGGCTCTGTGCAAAATAAAACCATCCACATTTATCATTATTGGATCCCTAATGAAGTGATAATGGGAATGCTGGGGAGCTGTGATATTAATGTCTTCTAAGAGGCAAGAGCAGAGCCAAGGGCGGCAGCCAAGATTTTTAATTTACTGCCAAAAGCTCGTGCTGTTAATAACGCAGTTACTCCTCCTGGCCATTAGCACTGTTTGGCTACGAGCTGCCAGCTTAGGAGAGCAAATCGACCCTGAACATACCCGGGCTTTGCTCACTCACTTCCCAACCAGCATCTGGGTGTGTTTTTTCCAGTGTCCCCTGCCCATGTACAGGGACGTGGCCGGGGAGCTGTTGGCCATCTCCACCCAGCTCTTTCCTGGAGGCTGGCTGGTGTAGAAGGTTTTGCTTTTCTGATAGAAAGGGAAGGGACTGTGTGTAAAACCCAAGTGGCTCTTATTGTCCTCACTGTCTCTGTGACTCGTTGCCTTAGGCAGAAGCACCCTGAAGCCAGGATGGCATGGAGGCTGCTCCCAGCACACCCTGCACACTGGGATCACTGGGTGTGACCATGGCTGCACTCTGGGTTCCTTCACTTGCCTGGGTTCACTCCCACGATGCCAGTATCCCATCCAGGCCAGCGTGGGCAAGCTGCAAAGCCCTGCTCAGCTGTGGTGACTCACTCAAGCTCCCAACGGGGGAAAGTCATCGTTTCTGGCAGACCCTGACAGCCCAGAGGCAAATCGTTACTAGGCAGGTAAGCGACGCTCTTGTGTCTTAGGATGCAATTGTTAGCTCACAAATCCTGCTAAACCTGACCAGTGTGGCCCAAATGTATGCTGGCTCATGTGTGGCACCTTTTGCTGTCTGTGAAGGGACTGCAGGTCAGAGGGAGCTGGCTTTGGGCTGGAGCAGGAACAGACAATTTCCTGCTGAGCACTGTCCAGAGGAATAAAACAATGCTTTGTCTGTGAGGGATGTGCAAACTCCAGTGCTCCTTTTGTCCCTAGGTAGAAGGTCCACCCAAGCAACCCCTTGGAAATGTAGCTTCGAGCTGTTCAGGTTAAAGCATCAGAGAAGTATTTCTGTAGCCTGGGTATCCTTAGTGAACCTCTCCCTATCCTGTTATCTCCTCACTAGGAAAGAAAGGACAAGAACAAAACCCATATATGGTGGCCAAACAAAGGTAGATGTGGAGTGTACTTCAAACAGCTCCATCCTTTCAACAAACCTTTTATTAGCCTTCTCTCCTCTCCAACACACACTCTTTAATTGTTAGTGAAAAGCCCCCATTCAGAAAGCAAGGACACTGCTCAGGGTATCTGGGGTAGGCATTTCCTGGGAGAAGCCAGCCAGCACTAGCCCAAGGTCTTCTGAATTTGGCTGCAGCTCCAAGGGCCAGCGTGCAAGGCTCAGCAGTGTGCCAGACCTGCGGGCAGGGAGTTATGGTGGGCCTGTGGCACACTGGACCTGCTGCTGAAAGTGCCAGGGACCCTTCTGCCAGGCACTCCAGCCTGAAACCAGAGTCACTCTGCATTCCACTGGAGCAGAACTGGCCAGGAAGCATTCCCAGCACGGTGGAGCCAGCTTTAGCCAGTTATCCTGGCTGCAGCCCACACTTGTGGCTGTACCTCCGTGTATTGGTGCCCCTGTGGAGCTGGCCTGCTGGGCATGGAGCAGGTGACCTGCCAGCGACCTCCAGAGAAAAGCACACAGCACAAAGCAGCTTCTCCTGCACAACCACCCCCTGACATTACGGGGGCATGGAGAGCTTTATAACGCTTGGCAGACTTTCCCCAGCAGATCTTGGAGCTGTTTGCCAGTGTGAGCAAGTTCAGGCATGTTACAGAAGACCTTCAGACTCTGAGGACAAATGAGATGCGTGGATGGGTTTAAACTATCCCGGGCAAGACTAGGGTTTTGAAATCCCCAGGCTTGTGCCTTACACTGTGCCTGGGCCTTAGCCCAGATAGTCCAGCTGCCAGCCTGGCATTGATACTGGGCCCCTGTGATGGTCCTGCTGATATCCCTACTTGTGAGATATTGGCTTCAAAACCAAAATAGGAGGTGTTGTACCCTCCTCAAAAATCCATTCTCCAATCCAGGCGGGAGCAGAACAACTGCTCAGTGAGATACACCACGACTCACGGTGTTGGCACAACAGTGTGTTTATGTCACGAGATGAGATCAGCCACACGGAGTAGGTCGGTCTGTCTGGAAAGAGTCTGAGTCAAGCGTGTCCTATTACATTAGAGCTGGATTTTCAAAGGAGCTCAGCTCTCACTTAGGCTCTGTAACAAACAGCCGGATATTCAAAAGGAGTTGGACGTGCTGGGTCATACTGGCTGCTGAGCTGAAGTCCTTTGAATATCCAGCCAAAACCATCAACGTGCCTGTTGCTACAGGCAAAGCCCTTCTGAAATCCAGCCTCACTGTGGGCTGCACATCCTGGGAAACCCGGCTCATCTCTGCTCTCCCACATATCACACTGCAGTAGGTGACAAAACCATGATAAACCACCATGTCCTTGTACATGTGGGGGGAGCAGCTCCCTGTCAGAGCACAGCTCTGGCAGCTTTGCCCTTTGATCAGCTCAGCAGCATGGGTCAGGAGAGCTGAGCGTGAAGGTTTCCTTGTCTTTTGTTCTGTGGAATTAGCAGAGTTAATCAGAGTGACAGCGACTTCTGCCTCAGCGCAGAAGAAAGGTCAGTGGCTCGGGCTGGATGCACGACTGTTTTCTAGGCAGTTGGAAAACAACACCATGAAAGCTCATAGCATACATGCTGCTGGTACGGAGGCTCTCCCAACAGGGATCAGAAGGGAAGATGTTCCTGTGGAGGGGAGGAGGCTGGAGGAGCCATTGCACTTAGTTCATCCCCTTCCTTGCGCTGTGCAGCGAAGGTATGGAACCCTCTGTGTCACTGTGCACTGCCTGTGTCACCCATCCAGTATCTCTGCCACTGTGCTCCTTAGCCACACTCCTGGGTTTGCATCATGCTGGGCTTAGGGTCTCTGTGTCACCTCAGTACCCTGCTGTGGGAGGAGCTGCAGGGCATTGTGCTGGCACGTGGAGTGGGTGCTGGGTGTCCCCACCACATCCTTCCAGCACCTCCATGCTTTAGGTGAGCAGGCCTTGCTTTTACTGCTTTTATATCCTTCAGTCACTGATATTGCAGTGCATTAATATGCACTGATATTCTGTCAACTTGCAAAAGCTCCCTCCTCAGCAGGGGTCACTGGAGGTGCAACAGTGCAGTGAGGGCTCTCCCTGGCAGTCCTGCCATGGCCGCAACTTCCCCACATCTTTTAACTATAGTTGAAGCATGTGAAGTCTTCAACTTCACTTGAAGTCACAAGCATCTTAAATCCAGCTTCCTTGTCTGCAACATGACCTCTTACCTTTTTCTGATCCCCCCAATTGCAAGTGCTTGCTTTTGCTATGGACATCCACTCATGTGTCTAATTAGTGAATTCTTTCTGTGAGATACCAGCACCTTTGACAGTGAGCCCTAATTTAAGTAGTTTGCATTTGTCTGCAGTGCTGATGCTTTCATTTGCCCCTGGTTCTAATAAAGTGCATCTGGATATCTGCAGAGGGAGCTCTCATGATCTCTCTATGGCTCTAATTAAAATGGCCTGGATGTCCATGACATTGGTGCCAGTCAAGCCTGTCACCAGGAGGTGACGCCCACCTTGGAATTGGCTGAAGAAGGTGTAGGAGTCATTGTTCCTGAGAAAGGCCTCCACGTCCAGGCCCTCCTGAAGCGCCTCAGCCACCAGCCCTGGGCTGCAGAAGGCTCCTGCTGCCTCCGTCGGCCCATCCTGCCCATCCGTTCCCCCGCTGAAGAAGATGATCTCACACCTCCCTTGGGGGCTGCTGCCTTCCATGGCCTGTGCCCTGTGCAGCCCCAGCCCCACACGCAGGGCCAGCTCCTGGTTCCTCCCTCCCTTGCCGCTTCCTTGAAGCTGGACTGTGGTTTCTCCGCCGGCCAGGATGCAGACTGGTCTTTCAGGCCCTAATCCTCGCATGGCCTGTAGAAACCTGTCAAGGTCCAAACCTGGAATCTCCAGCTCTGCCACCAGCTGCAGGAGATCGCCCCTCACCTCATCACTGAGGGGCCCTTCTGCGAGGCCGGCGAGGCCCAGGCAGACCAGCCGGATCAGCTGGCAGTACAGCGTGGCGACACGGCCGACTTCCCCACGGATGGCTGCACTCAGAACCAGAGCTGCGTAGCCCAGGCCCTCAGCGTGGCGTTTGGCCTCGTCTAAAGCCAGTGTATTTGACCCAATGATGATGTTGGAAACATGGGAGTAGTTTTCTGGAGCAGTGGGCTTGGTGGGAGAGCAGGAGAGGACAGTTTCCACTGACTTGGGCAGGTTGTGCAGCAGGTTGTATTTGACAAGTACCTGAAGGCAGTCTTGGACACTGTGGGAGCTGGCAGCAGTGGGCCCACTCGCTATGATATCCAGGGGATCACCAATCACATCAGACAGGATGAGACTCACCACCTATGGAAAGAAATGCCCACAGATTATTGAAGGAGGCAGAGACAGGTGACCACACAAGAGCCCTGGCATAAGTATTGCTCTGAGTTACACTTGCACCACACCTGCACGAAAGCAGATGGAAACAGGGCAGGGAATTTTTGTTTTATGGTCCTGTGAGTGTCACCTTGCCCTTCTTGAACTCACAGATCTACAGTCCCCTTTGATGCTGGACTATCACTTTGGAAGATGTAACCTGTGACACTGCACTTCTCAGGCCCAGCCTAGTGTGAGTTCAGCGATGGCACGTGCTGAGAACAGCCCCCAGGGGAGCCAAGGGTCAGTACCAGCCTTGAAAGCACTGTGGTGAAGCACCAGCACTTGGAAGTGCCTGCTGGGTGTGGGCTGGGGTGTGCTGCGAGTGGTGTGATGATGGCTGATGATTGCCAAGCCTGAATTTCCCCCTGTTCCACTTTTGACTCTCTGAGAGTTTGGGTCCTCAGTGAAATCTCAGCTAGAGAGCCCCAAAACAGTATGAACAGGTTGTTCACTTAGTAAAGAAAAAGCCCTGCAGCATGCTTAGGTAAGATGACTGAACCTCTACTTTGGGGGTAGATGGGTGACCTGTGGGCAAGCAAGGCCTTCCTTCCCCGTGGTTACCCGTGCAGGATGTGCAAGCTGGGCCAGCCCTCCACCCTTCAGCACGGACAGAGTCTTCCGGACAATGTTCAGCTCCTGTATGGCAGCTCCTCGGGAAGCCAGCGTCTTTGTGAGTTTCTCCTTCTCTTCGAGGAGGATGGGAGGGATGGGAGCAGGCAGCAGGGCTGATCCACCCCCTAGGATACAGAAGAGATGGCAAGGACATCAGGATAGCAGGAAAGGGAGGACAGAAGAGAGCAAGGCTTGAACCTTTCCTCTTCCCTCACTAGTGTGGGGAGGGAAGGCAACTGGGGACCTAAGCTAACGTCTCTGGAGAATTCAGTCTTCACCAATGGGCTTTAATCACTGCTGTTCTGCACTCTCTGCAGTCTGCTACACTTCTCCTGGCAGTGTAAACCTTGCCAGGCCAGGATACCACATGCCTCCAGTGTTTGTGGGGATGACAGAAAGGGGACAGCAACTACTATCACCACCACTCTGGGCTACCAGTGTGTCGTCACTGGTATTCGCCTGGAGGGGTGAGCAGGGAGCTCAGCCTCCATGGCTCGCACAGCAGTCATTGCTATGCATGTGGAGACACTGCCTGCTTTGGTGGCTCCATTTATTCAGGACACTGAGTTAAAAAAAAACGAACAAAAAAACCCCGCCAACTATGGATGCAGCAAGACTGGAAACTCCTGAACTGTGCTCATCTAGGTCTGGGAGGAAAGGACGGGGGAAGACAGTAATGCGAAGGACAAAGCACATCCTGAGTCCAGGGGTCCAGCCTCATCAGTGGGAATCCTGTCTGATACAAGCAGGCATTGGAAAGATGGGAAAGAAGGCAAGATTCTAATGGAAAAGTGGATGAAAAATCCAGAGGAGAAAAGAGCAAGATCTGAGCAGAGTGAACATGCACAGAAGTACAGCTGAAAGCTACTGTCAAAAGGCAAAGCCTGCTCAGAGGTTTGAGACAAATCAGCATCAATAAAACATGATGAGCAAGAAAAACAAATGCAAATGCCTGTGTTTCAGTCAATAGCCAGGGATCTAGCTGAGAGGCAGGAGCAGTTGGGGACCGGCTGCTGTGTGGGAGTGCACATGCATAGGGAGTCACAGCCACAGGGAGATCCTGTACAGGCTCCCTGAAGGGCTGAGGAGTCTCTTGGAGATCCTTGTAGCCAGAAGACAGGAGGAAGCCCAGGGGAATCCCCAGCAAGCACAGCTAGATTCCAGTCACTTGGGTGTTTGCCTAACGGCACTACTCTCTCTGCACCAGATGAGGCTTCAGCACCCACAGAGGAATAAACACTGAACAGAGGAGGCCAAGGGGTTTCTGCAGAGCCCCTGCATGCTTTTGTCCTGTGACACCCTCAACCAGCTGAGCTCAGGCTGGGGTGATGTCTGTGCATCCCTCTGATGCCCCATACCCACTGTCCTCACACAGCCCTGGGTCTGGGGACAGCCCAAGGGCCCAGCAGCCAGGGCCTGGAGGTGTGCAGGACTGACCCTGCCAGGCAGGCAGCTCGCTGTGCTGGTACCTGGAGACTGAATTTCCACTGGTTGGGAAGCAGCCAAGCCCTGGGAAGGGTCATCACAAATCTCAGCTTGCAGATTCACACCCCTGCAAAAGTTTAGTGTGTAAGCCCACTAAGTGCTTGCATCTCGAAGTTTGCATCCCAAAATGTAAGGAGGGGGAAGGAAGAAAGCATCTCCTTGCCAAGAGGTGAGAACAGAGCCCGGGCTGTGCCCAGAGGTGCCATCTCACTGTGGTGGCACAACCACAGGACCCAGGCTGTGCAGCTCAGGATCTCCCCAGTGCTGGGAGGCAGTGTGTCCACTGCAGCACCAGGAAGCCCTGTGCTCTCCCTTGCTGCATCCCTTGAGAAAGGATGGCAGAAGGGAGAGGAAAAATCACAGAGGTACAAGGGTCCATGCGTTCCCTTGCTGCATGGCCATGGATGGCCTCAGGAGATCCCATTCCCCGGTATCCCCACACTACCTGAGATAAGCACAAGGAGCAGGTCATCTGCAGTCAGACCCTCAGCCAGCTGCTGTATGGCAACAGCCCCCTTCAGAGCCTCTGCATCTGGGAGGTTGTTCTTGGCACCTTCAATGACCTGGATTTTGCTGTGTGGCTTCAGCAGCATCTCCCTGGTGAGATAAGAGAGGCAGTCACGCCACTGACCTGTGCACCTACACAGGCAGCCAGGCTGTCCCTCTGCAGGTGCCTGGTGCACCAGCGGTGTACAGCAAGTGAGCAGGACAGGGAGATGGCCTTTGCTGAGTGTCTCATCCCAGGGCTGGAGAGGCAGCACATCCAGCACAAGAGATGGGCTCTGTTACTGGTGCCACTGGGATGTGACGGTGGTTGAAGATGAAAGCAGTGGGTTGGATGGGATGGGCAACAGAGTGAGGGCAGTTGGAAAGGACTGAAAGGGTTCACAGGACATTCCATGGAGGACAAATCTGGCAGCCTACCCCCACCCCCAAAACTGTCCAGAAACAGTCTTCCTTACTGCATTCCTGCTTGCTGCAGACTCTTCTGGATGCCGAGTGGCACATTGATGATCCCACGGACCAGGTGGTCTCCCAGGATCTCTTCTGCTGCTGCAGCCATCCCCAGCACAGCTTTTCCGAAACCCACCAGGTACAGGCCCCTCTTCACTGGAAAGGTCTGGCCCTTCACCAGCAGCTGAGGGCACCCATCCCCCTGGAGTTTCAGAGCCCTCTTCATCATTGGGGCCGGGCGCACGGTGCCCACCGCGCTGCGGAACAGGGACAGTGCGTGCTCACGGAGGGACATTCTGCACAGGGTGGCCAGGCTGAGCCAGTTTGCGCTGTGGGGTGGGCTTGTACACACCCTGCCAGCACTGGCAAGGCCTCCAGAGCTGGGACAGCTGAAGCCTCCAACCTGCAAGGGAAAGTGAACATTTTTGCAAGCAGAAGAGACAGAGCTGTCACAGAGAGAGCAGGGAGGTCAAAACAAGAACCGTGAAGCTCTGGCTCCTGTTTCCTCTAGATTAAGGTGCCTTATGAACAGCATTTTCAAATTTCTCACCAGGCAGGAAGGAGGGAAGGACAGCGTCACATTCAAACTACCTGTCAGCTTGTGATTCCCCTGCAATCCCATCACCTCCTGCAGGGAAGGTGAGCTCTGCCAGCCAGCTTCTCTATCACTGTCGCTTTGCCACTGGCAAGCCATCATTTCTATTTGCTCAGCGTTTGACACCTTTCCAAACTGTGGAAGCTGCTCTCTGTCCTGGAGAGAGCAGGGCATCTGGGTGGAACAGCTTTTCACTACATTAACTCCCTTCCTTGTGCTGGCCAAATGCTGATCTCATTCTCTGGCTGTGCAGTGCCCCATGTGTCCCTGCAGCATCAGACACAGACTCAAGAGAAACAACAGGCTTGCTGGCTGCCTGATCCCTTGCTGCTGGTGGCCACAGAGAGACCAGTAATGAGGTTTCCTCACCAAACAGCAAATTAACACAAGGCTTCATTTGCCTTTATGTTTTAGTCCTCTCATTATCCATTAAAATCACATTTAGAGCCCAAATAAGACTTCAGATCAAGGCAAAGTTGCCAGCCGTGTCTGTGAAAGCCCATTTGAGCTGGTCTCCACTGAGCATTAGCATTATACGCAACAGATTTGTGCACGGACCGAAAGATCTCAGCTGCTCAAGGGCAGATACTTGTCTTGACAGAGGAAAGGCAGCCCCTGCCAGCACACAGGCATCTATTCCCTCTCAGCATTTCTCTTTTCCTTCTGTTAACTGGCAGCAAGTTCACTGCCGGTTTCTCAGGATCAAAGATCCCTGTGATCTGCATCCCTCCTGCTCACGGCAATCGAGGCAGAGTGCCAGGAGGCTCAAGCAGCCCGGGCAACACACTCAATCACAGACCCAATCAAATTACCTGAGAGAGTTAATCCTCTCTCTAGTAAGTGGAGTTTTTCAGCGCAAGTGGCTGGATTCTTCTGTGAAAGCTCAGGAGTCCAGAGGTCTCTTTGTCCTGACACTCCCATAGCATTGCAAGGTGTTAATGATTAAGCCAGACAAGCTTTCCAACAGCTCCTCTAGGCCTAAATCTGCCTTATTTTGCTGTATGAACCCAAAGGCTCTATGCAAAAAAAAAACACCCTACACAAGCTCCTTCCCAGGCAATGAAATGTGGGTACACTCTGAAATCTATTGAACAAGGGACTTGCAGATAAAGCTATTTGGAGAATCAAAGGTTAGTCAGAGAAAGAAACCTAAGAATCACAGAATTTGGAAAAGACCCTTAAGATCGAGTCTAACCAGAAATTATTTAATACTTAGGAGAACAGATTTTAAAGGCAAAAGCCAAGGCAGATTAACCACCTCTCTTCAGATATTGGTCAGAAGGACTGCCTTTTCAACCATGAGCAGAGAAGAGATTAAAAGACAGGGCGTCCTGGCCACTTTGTTCCTAGACTCTTAAACTTCATGGCAGCTAATGCTGCCAGCAGCGTAAACCACTGACCCCTCTTCAGGGAGGGCCACAGTGACTGTGCTGCTCGAAGTGAAGTCAGCTGTGCACCTCTTAGGAACTGAGATTAGCATCTCTGTTCCCAGCAGGTCTCTGATTCACCTGGCAGCACAGTGCAATCAGAGGAAGGTGTTACAAAGCAGAAGTGCATCACGCCCCAGGTCACCTCCCCTAAGCTGCGACACAGGGTTTGCAGAAGCGGCTGGAGAAAAAGGCTTAAATGGAGTCAGGGGAACTGCAGAAAATAAAGCCCCAGAGTTTTTAAGAGGCTCTGTCTCTGCCTTGATGTTTCTGTGCATGACTGACCCTGAGGACCAGGGGAATCGAGCACAACCAGACCTGCAACAGTGGCTCCTCTCACACGTGCCCTCCTGGCGGCTCCGTTCAGCTCCAGCTCCAGACACGGCACAGCGGGCATGAGTTGTTTAAGAGAAATCCTCTCCTACTGGAGCTGGAAAAAATAAATGCCAGCTTAATTCATCTGGCACTTGTGTACATACTGCTAATGCTTGCTCTGGAAAGCATTTCACTACAATAGCAGGCATGTAATCTGTTTTCTGCACTCTGAACTCAGATTATATTTTAACCATCGAGGCCTGATGCGGAGCCTGGTGAAGTCAGCAAGTGTCTTTCCTTTGCTTCTCAGCATTTTAGGGCACACTGCCTGGCACTGATCTCAGAGCCCAGGTGTAAATGCAGAGTAAATATGGTGTAAAAACCCGCTTGCAATCAGAGGTTATCCAACTTTATACCAGTGCAACAGAGAGCTGAATTTGGCACAGATCCATGAGCTTTGGATGTCTCAGTGTGTAACTCTGCTCCTTGTCAGCTCTGATTAGACACGCAGGCTCACTGGAGGCTCCCCTTGGAATGGGGGTGCTGCTAATGATGCCACAAATCCATTTTTATGTAATTTATTTATATAGTCTCAGGCACTGGGTACTAAATGTCATCAGGAAACAGCTATAAATCAGTGCTATGAAATCCAATATAGATATTAACAAAAAAATAAATAAATAAAACTCCTACTCACTTTACTGGGGCTTTAAAAACAAGATCAGGAGGACTGAATATCACCCCAAAACACAGTCATGGAAAGAAAAATAACCCAAATGGCAGCTTTTAGGCTCCCTCCAGAGATGGTAGGTTTAGAAATGATGTAACTGCCCATCAGCTGCTGCACATTGCACGTGGGGAAATTACACCCTCACATCCCTGTGTTTCCCTCTTCCCACTGCTGGCTGGGAGGAATCTGGGCTGAGAGAAGGGGCTGATGATGTGACTCATATTGCTTCATGCACTGATCTTTGTTTCCTACTTTCTCAGGTAAATCACACAGGGATGAATGAGCCCTCTTCTACATGGATATAAGGTGACATGCTATAGGATGAGTGGGGCTCAGGTTTCACACCTTCCCTTTGTCCCTGTTTGGGATAATATGGAGTCGGGATAGTCTTTTGAAAAGTTTTCTAGAAGTTTGCACTAAGCTTAGGAGGAAAATGATGCTAAGAATTACCTGTTCCAAAGACAGCTGGAGGACTGTAAGGGGTTTAGATTAATCCCCTTTAAATGAAAACTTCTTCAGCTTTCACTGATGAATAATCTACACACTTACAATAAATCTACACACAGCATTATAAGCTCTTTCTTCACAGGGCTCCTCCTAAGCCTGCAGAAATTTCCACTGTTAGCTCTCACACCAAAAAGCAGCAAAACCCCAGCTTCTTATTTTCACCTTCTCTGGGAAAGAGGGAGGGAGAGGAGCTGGACTGTGATAAAATACAGGCAAAACACTCGTTTGCATTACCTTTTATTAACTTTTTAATTAAAGCAATTCTGCAGGCAAGGAGCCAAAGTCAGAGGGAGACAGAAACAATCCAGCAGTAGGGGCAGAAACGTAGTAAAGCTGCCAAGTAAATTGGATGGTGGCAGGAGACCAAAAGCACGGACATAGTGGGGCAGAGCCTGAGCCATAAACTCGGAGTCACACTGGGGAGGAAAACAGTGAACAAATGAGCTGGCCATGCCCATGCAGCGAGAAAAATGAGCCAACACCTCACTCCATGGCAGCTGCTTGAAAGACAGAAAAATATTCCTTTCTAGGGGCCAGTCTGCCATCGCTGGGCAGAGCTGAGCTATTCCAGGTGCCGTGGGTGGGGGTTTGTTCAAGGATTTGCATCATGGGCTTGTGGTTTTCTTGAAGTCGGGGTAATTGAGCTTGTTGCAGGCCAACCCAACCACAGACACATCCTGAGCATTTCAGGTGCTGCGAGATCAGAGGATGCTGTATATTCATGCACCAGAATGTCTAATTCAGCTGAGATCTTCGGGGGCCTAAATTAGTTTAGTTTTAGTGTCATTGGGATGTCTCTGGATTTCCCCTGGTGTGGCAGGGATTGGTGGCTGGCCCACCGTGTATGGGGTCAGCTCCAAAATCCCTGAGGGGCTTGGAAAACATTTGAGATGGCACTGGCTCAAACCCCAGTTGCCTGAGGATAATTTTGAGCTCGAGCTCTAAAAGACAGATTACAGCAGTAAACTCCCAGACACAGCAAGTTTTAGCAGCATCTCTCGCTCCTCGTTTTTCTTGCTGCATGACTTTCTTCTTCGGTACGTAAATTAACATTAGACTCACTGAGCCTCAGTGCTCCCATTTCTCCTGTATCACCAGGGGAGTTTACCTATGAAGTACAACGGAGCTGGGATTTTACTGCCTCAAACTCCCCTGCTCCCACTTACTGACACATCTTTTTTATCATTTGATATATCAACTTTAATTCGCCTGGTGAAACTCAAACTCGCTGCTCCGCACGGTCCCAAAAGCATTACGAGAAAATTTTTCCAGGAGATGCGCTGAACCCAGGAGGGAAACAAAGCGGGGAAGGCTTGTTCCAAGTGTCTATTCTGGGAGGATTAGATGGGGGATTTTTCAAGACTAATCTCTTTAAATGAAAATTTCAGAATTTGATTAATTTTTTAATCTGCACATGGATTTGCATAAAATTACTGCACTGCCTCATTCACATTTGGTAAGAGAGGAAATGTCTCTGCAGGAAGGATGGGCAGCTGTGAAGGGTCCAGTGCACGAGTGGGTTGCAGGGACTGGGTGAAAGACCCTGTGCCTCCACTCACTGCGGTGCTCCTGGGAAAAGCACTGGGAAAGAGGATGAAGGTGGACAGAAGAAGTATGATGAGACCAGAGGGCTTGCCAGGCAGGCAAGGGAGAAAGCAGGATGGAGCCTGGATACCTTTGTTTCAAGAATATGCTGAGCTCTGGGAAACCCAGGAGTCCCAGTTTCCGATACATGGCTTTCTATATGTTTGTTAGAGAAGAAATATGTTGCTCTCATGACTGATTTACTCACCAGGAAAGTGTCAGCAGGGTCTCTTTGCCTTTGATGGAGAACGTGGCTTAAGGCCAAGCACAGGGAGGATAAGTGTTCAGCATTTTATATATATAGATCAGTATGATTAGTAAAAAAAATTAACTAGATTTGACACATGCATCTTACTAGTTTTTCTAGGTCACACTCCCTTCACTCCCTATATACCTTTTGGAAATGATTTTCCCATGCACTGGGGATTGCAAGGAAGAAAATTTTTTCACTAAAAATCCTTCTGTAGCTCAACACAGAACACTACTACCCTGGAGCTAAGTCCATGCCAAGTCTACTTCCTTTCATGCTGTAATTTCTCAAACTCCTTATTCTGAGTCAACTTGCCATCAAAGTTGAGAGTCATTTAAAATACAGGGAAGGATCATAGTACTCTAGAGAAGATGAAAAGCTGCCAGCCTTGAGGACTGGAACAGTAAAAAAGGGTTGAAATTCAGTGCTGCGAAATACAAGGTCACGCTCTTTGGGATTAATAGCAGAAAATTATGAGCTCCTCAGTTGGAAATAACATAAGAGGAAAAAGAGCCAGGAATCTTAATCAGTCACAGGATGACAATTACAGCTGCCCTCTGGGCTGAGACAAGAGGCTGTGGGGAATGTGGAAAGCAGCAGATGTGAACTGCCTGGACTTCAGTGAGGCTTTTGACATCATTCCCGTGAGCACACTGAAGTGTGGGTTGGGCAAACACAGTCAGACCTGCTGGAAACCAGCCTGACCACTGGGCTCAGAGGGCAGAAACCAGTGGCCTGGGGTCAGGTAACTGGTCAGGACAGCTGGTAATCAGCAGGGAATCTTTTGGGGTTCATCTCACCCCAGGGCTTCATCAGTGACCTGGAGGGTAGCACAAAGTGCTTAATTTGGGGAAGTGCTGATGGAGGCACCTTCCAGAGCAACCGTGATAAACTCAAGGTCAGGACCCACAGAAACCTCGGGACACTCAGCAAGGAGAAGTGTGAATTTCTGCTGCTGAGCAAGCACAAGTCCCTGTACTGTGCAGGTTCCAGTGGTATGGAACATAGAAATGCAGAGGTAGAATAACTGCATGTGATCAATATCACTCAAGCAGCAATTAAACATTTTTTCCATTAACTAATTTTACAGGGGCATTATCCATGATTCCTACTTAATATGACATTTTGCTAGGAGATCCAATTATCCTGCCAGCTAAATTCCAGCTTGGTATAAACTGACAAACTAAGTTCCAACGATTAGGAAGAAAGGCAGGAGGATAAAAAGGAAGTGACAAAATATCAAATCAACAACCCACGGTGTTATACAACTGTAAAACTTAGCTAAGTATTGTAGGTGTTTTGAAGTAAATTGTCTTATGATGGTATTGGTGAGTCACCTCCAGGGCCCACAAGAGATAATCCAGGCTTTGATCCTGCAATTTACAGTGTGCAGGGCACGGCACCCCGAGACTCTCTAAAACCTCTCATCACACAGAAATGAGTGGTAGGTTTTGAACCAAGCTGAACAAAGGGGCAGCTGAACCCGAGAGCCTCAGGAGTAATGAAGGCATTTTGTTGAGTCTCCCTGGACTCCAGTGTGAAAACCTTGCCTCCGTTTCAAAGGAAAAACAGGTGAATCATTCAGAGAAGCCAAACCCACTGTGGCCTGAGAGGATGAGCCGGGTGAGATCTCTCAACCTGCAAGGGTGACCTCCAGCAAACAAACAGCGAGGGGAAGGAATCTGGGGAAAGACTTTTGTCTCACTAAATCCACACGAAATAATTCAGCCTGTTTGAAAGGCCTGCAGGCAGAGCTTCAGCGACAGCTCCCGGACTTTGGTTTGACCACAGGAGGGCAACAGGATCCAAACACAAAATCAAACCCTGTTCTGGAGACTGTGAAAGGAACGTGCAATTAATGTTTAGGAAAGTGTCTATGGTTTGGTTGTTGTTTTTTCTTTTTCTTTTGATTCTGAGTTTCTGGGGGGCCAAAATGCCAAGATCTGGTGGTGTTCTGAATTTAAAATAGCAGAAATCTTTGAGGTGTGCGTGGGAGAATCTCACAGCTACTGTTATACTCCAGGAATAACTTTTTAAGGTAAGAAATACATGAAAACAGGAACACAGAGCCTGATACCAGGATTCACGACAAAAAAAGGCGTGTGCATTGGAGCAGCAGCCTCAAAAGCCACAGTGTCTTTCTCAAAGGCTTCAGTGTGTCCTGCACACCTTTACCCCATGTCTCACACGGTTCAGGATCATGATGCTGTAGCTGCAGTGATCCTGTAGTACTGCTTGGAAGTTTTTAGAGGAATAAAAGAATACTGGGAAATGAAAATGTGCATTAACTGGTCTGAAAATAGCATGGGGGAAGGATAAGAAAGTACTCAAGGTGTATTTCAGAGGAGGGCATGGACACA